GGTAATCAAAGTATTTCTTTAGCAGTTTATTTGTGGGCGGAGTTATAATTTTTTGATTTATTTAATTCACCATTACTTTGTTCAAAATAAAACTATTTAGTTATACTTTGAATTAACATTGATTATATATATGATTAAACTAACAATAATTAAAATAAAAGCAAAGTAAGTCTGTCAAATTAGTAACGACTACATTTAAGTTACCGTTTTTTATTTAATTGCAACTTGATTCTGATTTTGTACGAATGCTTTTCTGAATCACCCGTCCCCAAGGGGTTAAGGCTGGGGCATAATCTAGAAATCTAGTCCACAAATAGATCTTAAATATTTTTAATTATTGTGGAGAACAACGATGGCTCAGGGGATAGAGCGTTCGCCTTCCAATGAGGTGAACCGGGTTCGAATCACAGTCGATACGAATTCCGCATCCGGCTTGCACCGACCACAGTGATGGCGTGAAATATCCTCAGTGGTAGACGGATCAAGGGTTAGAGTCCCCTTGCCGTCAGATTAACCGTGGGAGGTTCTCGTGGTCTTCCTCTCCATGTAACGCAAATGCGGGTTAGTTCCATCAAAAAGTCCTCCACGAAGACAAATTTCTCCAAATACTTGATCCAGGAGTTACTTTGTCTTCTGGATTGGGTTCAAAATTACAAGGCTACGGAGCTGAACATTAGTAGTCGCAAACCCACAAAATTGGGTCGACTGTTCAAAGACGGTTATAAAATAAAATAAGAACATAGCTACCACTCGAATTAATAATTACGAAATACGTAAAAAGTTCGCAGCTTTACAATTACAACGACGTCTGCGTAGTTTTTAAAATGCTGTTCATTTAATTATTTAATTTGTTAGCGGTAGTAAAGGCAACGCATTTATGTTTTGATAAATTAGAATAAAAGTAAGTTTGCCCACACACACTATATACAGTCAAACCCCGCTATAGTGAACCTTCAAGGGACCGAAATTTCGGTTCACTATAACCGGGAGTTCACTATATCCGTTGCGCAGACAATTTAACTAATGGATCCTAAACTCCTCCCTTTTATTACACATTATTTAAATAAATGACTGAAAAATATTATGTAGTAGCAAAAAATGTGCTATTTTTCATTACTCTTCGTTTTGCGTACAAATAAAAATTAGTAATCTTTAGCTGATAAGTAATCCTCAACATCAGATATGGAAACGCTTCCCGACTCTCAGCTAATTTTTCGTGAATTTCTGTTATTCCGCTTTTTAAACCTGTTTAACCTGCCATTCGAGCACATAAAATTAGTCTCTGTAAATGGTTTTAAAAATCGGTATATCTACCGATTTTTAATCAAAATAAATACATATATGTATTTATTTTGAAGCAGAAATTTCAAAATTATTTAAAAAAAAAATGGGGGAAAAATCGGTCGAAGACAGAAGAAAGTTCATTATATCCAACTTCCTGACTTTTTTGGTTCACTATATCCACTAAAAATAACATTATACGTGCATAGCAAGGCACGGGACCGAGCATTTCGTTCACTATATCCGGGAGTTCACTATAAGCCGTGTTCACTATAGCGGGGTTTGACTGTATCTATATAAACTGGGGGGGGGTCCCCTGTTCGCTGGAGTTCACTAACCCCGATGATTGCTTCGCAATAATTGCTGCTTCTTGGCATAAAACAATTAAAATTATTAAACTAAAAATATATGTATTAAAAAGAACACCTCCTCTTCTCAGGTCAAAATATTTCCCTTATGATACTATTAATATCTATAAGTGAACATAAATCATTTTCCTAAGTAGTCATTTTTTACAATAACATTAAAAGTATAGTGTCATAAAAAAAAATTGTGAGTTCGCAACTTTAATTTAATATATTTACTTACCAAACGAAAGGATGTATTTAAAATACAATTTTTGCATTCATCACTTTGTGCAATGAAGCTGAAAGTGAAGTTCTAAATCATTTAACGAATATCTTTAGCAGAGATGCCAACTGCTCCGGACACGCCAAAATAATTAAAATAACGGTAAATAACTACAAAGTAAATTTTGCAAATGTTTGACTATTTTTGCTTGCTTTTTTAAAGGTGCAACATAACGTAAGTACTTC